CAGGGTCTGGTGAAAAATCTTCAGCCATAATCTTGCTTTAATACTCTTACCTTCAGTGGATTCTTTACCAGCCTAGTAGTTCATCGATGGAGTTGAAAAGATATATTTTTAAAATTCCATTAAGCATTTTAATTGTTTTCATTAGTCAGACCATTCAGAGTATCAAATAAGTCATAACTCCAGAAACAGAAGTCTCCAGTCAACTTCTAAAGTAACAATGGTGACTTCCTATTATTTAACTGGGTATTAATAATTCCTGTTCTGTCTTTCTCTTAGGGTTCCCGTGAGTCTTCAATGAGATAGTGGTTTGCAATGTACACCATACATCATTGTCCTTCCTGGAATGGGTGACTGTGAAGACAATATCATTGTGATATAGTTCTTTAAAGCTCTAATGTACTATTTAGATGACTGTGGGTTTCTACTATGTATTACTGTATGTCAAACTAGTGATTCAGTAGAGGGGAAGATTAGAAGTGTTAATGAGTGTGAGCTCATTTTCAGTTGGGGAAATCAGGAAATTCATCCAACCATTGACTTTTGGGCTAAGCCTTAATGGGTAGAAAATATCTTCTTTGGCAGAAATAGAGGATATATAAAATGGAGGTTATTACATGAAGAAAAGATAACAAAATATATTACTCTATATCCAAAGGGGTGTTTGGTCTGTCTCTTGTACATTATGTATATCTAATGCCATTGCCTGTTCCAGACCTTATTGGTGTTTTATCAATAATAACCCTTGCTACCCCTACTGCAGAAATTCCTCAAGCCATATTTACTATTGCGAGAGTTTTCTGCCACTCTTTTTCATCCACTTCATAATAGTCCAGGTATGGAGTGACTCAAGGAGTCTTAGTGGAAATATATTGTTTTTAGTTGTCCTTGAGCCAATTCTGACTCATGGCAACCCCATGGGGGCAAAGAACTGCTCCAGGTTTTTTTTTTAAAAGAAGTATACATTAGGCTTGTCTCCCAAGGAGCTTCTTTGTGAGTTCCAACTGCCAACCTCTTAGCTAGTAGTTAGTGGTAGGCAGTATGACATGCTTCAGTGAGAAGGCTGTTGTGAAACAACAACATATTTGCTATGTAGTAAAGGAGGCTGGTGGCTGGGCATTTTAAGTACAGTAAACTCTATCTCTGGTCTTATCTAGGATAAAATATTTTAAAATGTAGGGATATAATAAGGATTACAATAATTGGAGTGACGTAAAATTGGACATTCCCAGATGGACAAAAGACTGGTTTTGCCAAAAGTTTCACAGAATGTAAGAAGCTATGTTAGAACAGGAAGAACTCAGTCTAGTCCTTATCTTCTCTAGTCTACACATGGGAAGACTTTGGAATATTATCTGGTTCATTAGTGACAATTCGGTATCTGTTTCCTAGTCCAAACTTTTCTTCTGCCTGTCTGCCTTTATTAACACATATGTGTCCTTTGGCCCTTTTGTTAACTCTTACACTTCAGATACCTGTAACTGGAGACAGGGAGGGGCAGCAAGAGCCATGGCAAGATTATCAGGAGGTGGTAGGGCTGTAGCTAACCATTCTGACTCATCTGCAGTTTGGAGAGGTGACTGCCTTGGGCTTACACACTGTACAAAATTGTGCCTGCTGGAGTAGGTGATTGTTAAGATACCACCACTGTGACATAGTTCCTTTGAATACCTTGGGTCTCTTTGGGAAAAGACAACCAGTGATATGAAAAAAGAAAATAATGTAGTGATTAAAGCCATAGGCTTTGGCAGTAAATGTCCTTGGGTTTGCTACTTGGAAGTAACATTGGTTCTGAGCCAGAAATAATGTTGAATCATAGCCTTAATTTCCTTAGGTATATAATGGGACCAATATAAAGAGTTAATTTTTCTAGAGACATTTTGTAGTACACGTTAAATATCTTCATCTCCCAGAATTATATTATAGCTTGATTTTTAAAATCCTTAGTTATCTCAAATGGTGTACTGTAGTCACTTGTAAGGTGTGACAAGTAATTTGTTACTATTTTTAAGACATTGAAGTTTGAATAATTTTCTTAAATATATCCTTTTGGGAGTTCAAGTTTTTCCTTTTAATCTAAAGCGAATTCTTAAATCGGAGTGAAGGAAACTGATAGTTGTGTCAAGAATTGTAATATAATTCTGTTGGCTCCCTTGAGAGTATATCACATGCATGGGTATTATCTGTCACATGTGACAACTGAGAATGATAAACAAGAAAATGTGTACTTTTGATGGGGCACACACAAGGCTTTTCATAATGGGCCTCAGCCCAGACTTATCTCCAACTACTCCTCCCCAATATTTCCCACTTGCTTTAAATGTCCCAATCCAGAAGCTATACTCTTTCCTGACTCCTGTGCATTTCACCACGGAGTGTTTTCTGCCTTGGTTGTTTGTTTGCCTTACCACTGCTGTGGGATTTCATCTCATTGCTCAAGGCTTCTTCTGGGAAGGTGGAATGTTTTCTCCTCTCCTCCACAGTTTTTTCTTCCAAGGTATCCTGCCTTCCCACTAGGATCTCTATTGTAGTTGAGTGTCACCTCAGGAAGACCATGGGGAGATGTAGGTTGTGTGATACTTATCACTACAGAGACACCTACAAACAATTCAAGAATTGCACTAGGAATTCTGGAGACCTCTGAGAGATATAGAGATATAATGTGAGGAGTCCTAAACTTGAAATTAGGCTATTCAGGGCTTTTTGTTTAGACTTAGGGCCACCAGTTATTCAGAAGCAGCCTTTGAGCAAATCATTCCCCCCTGTGAGCATCAGTTTCCCTGTCTGAAAAATGGGCTTGATTCTTGGTCTGCCTGCCTCTTCAGGCTGTTTTGTGGTTCAGATTAAAAAAAAATATGCCTAGCAGTGTTCTGGGGATAGAAATGCTGAGAAGGGCTTCCATGGCTCCCCATTATCCTTAGGAGAAAAGTCAAATTCTTTAGTATGCCACTCATCGCTTGCTTGGTAGTTAGGGTGGTGTAAGTCAAGTCATCAAGGAGTGGCATGTTAATGAGTTTAACTTTTGTACTAAGGGTAAAAGGGAGCCATCAAAACCCTTCCCTGCATTTTAATCCCCATAGCATCTACCTTTACAAGTATCTTTGATGGCACTGTGGGTAAGTGCTAGCCGCAAGCATGGCAGTTCAAAACCACCAGTTGCTCTGCAGAAAGATGAGACTTTCTACTCCTGTAAGGATGGACAGTCTCAGAAATCCACTAAGCAGTACAACCCTTTCCATAGGGTCCCTATCAATCAGAATTGCCTCAATGGCAACGAGTTATCTACCTTCATATTTTAGAGTCACACAGTTTTTCAAAACTCTCTCTCAGGCTAACCTTCTTGAAGTTTCCCGTACAATTCTGCTGTCTTTTGATTGAAGAGGAAAGTCATATTCTCCACTTGAATTCCCATCTTCATGAAACTTTAGGCACAGTACAGACTTCTTTAAGAAGTCTACATTATCTTCCTTCTAAATAGCCATACTCCCAAAGAGCTCTCTCCATAGCATTCATTACATTATATTAGAATTGCTGATGTCTTTGTCTTCCTCTCTACTAGACTGGAAGATCCAGGTAAAGGGCACATCTGTCTAGTTCCTGTATAAGATACATAGTGGTTCAGAGGGGGAACCTACTATAAGGATCTACATATAACCTCCTCCCTGGGGGACGGACAAGAGAAAAGTGGGTGAAGGGAGATGTTTGACAGTGTAAGATATGACAAAACAATAATTTATAAATTATCAAGGGTTCATAAGGGAGGGCTGAGCGGGGAGGGAAGGAGGAAAATAAGGAGCTGATGCCAGGGGCTTATGTGGAGAGCAAATGTTTTGAGAATGATGAGGGTAACGAATGCACAGATGTGCTTTATACAATTGATGTATGTATGGATTGTGATAAAAGTTGTATGAGCCCCCAATAAAATGATTTTAAAAAAAGATACATAGTGGTTGCCCAAGAAAAAATGTTGAATAAAAGGACAAATGGATGAGGCGGTTATTGTATATTGAGCTTCTCTAAGTGATACTAGAAGTCAACTGAGACAGTGGAATTCCCCCACGAGATTAGTCCAAGCTTGACATTATCTAACTCAACACCATGCATAAGCATCCAAAGGGCCAACTTCTTTTGATGACAAGTGTCACTGTCTAAGTGGTGTGTGGTATGCCTCTCACAGCATCTACCTGTTCTGCTGACCTGTCTTCTGGTCTGAGATTTTAAGTGCCCCGTGGGTGGGGACCATTTGCATAGAGGCTTGCTTAAGCTAGCTTTTAAAATAAATAAATAAATGGCTTGAAGTAAGTATCCAAGATGTGGATGACAGATGAAGTAGGCACGATAAGGTTGGGGCAGAGATCCTTGGGCTATATACAAGAGAGCCAGGGCAAGAAGAGGCAGAATCTCTTACCAGAACTCCAAACCAGTGTACAGGGTATGCAAGAAGTTTGTAGGTCCTGGGAACAAGCTGAATGCCACATACGAAGGGGAAGTGAGTTAGGTTCACTATAATAGTCAGCAGGTGTTTACTGAAGTCTTTTTGTTCTGGCTCGTTCATGTGAATGAGAAATTTAGGCTAGATGACATATAAGCTCCCTTATAATTCCATAAGGCAACATTTTTAAATCAGAGGTAACCCAGTCTCATTGGAGGGATGTATACTGGAGGATGGAGGTGATAGTGATAGGCTAAACTCTCAGATTAACTTGAACTAAGGCTTTACTAGAGTGTAATATCACTGAAAGCAGACTGTGGTTTATCTATTTCTATTTATCTCTGCCATTAACTACATGATTTAAACAACACACAGATAACATTCTTACCGACTTTCTAACCCAGATGGGAGGCATTGTGATAACCTCTATTACAGGTGAGTACATTGACACATACAGAACTTTTTTTGTTATTTCTTAACATATTAGATCTCATAATGCATTCAAACTGAAGAGACAGGGAAGGACTTTGCTTGAACCAAAGATCCAAAAGAAGGCCAATTTGGGTTTTACTTGGATAACCATGTAGCAATAATTTATTTGAAGCTTGGCAAGTATTGTGCAATGACACCCTGATTATATGTTCTCATAAGGATGAGGATGTGAGGGTGAACACCTGGGGCTTGTGTGATGTTCTCTTGGCTGACACACTAAGGGTTTTTTAATAAGAGGTTCTGATGATAAGAGGTCTGTGTCCATCTATCTTTTAGCCAGATGCTTTGATCGTTTGGTGATACCATTTCAACCTATGTTAAAGACAATACAGAGAAAATTTACAACAGTTGTGCAAAGATTTTAAAAGTATATGAAAAACAAAATAGTGTAAAAGGCCATTTGGCATGATATCAACTCTTGATGTCAATAAAGACAGCTAATAAAAGGAATTTTGATGAAATTCATCTGAAATTTTAGATTGTTTTATGCTATAACAAATTAACAATCATGATAAGAGGACATTAGCTGCTTTTCTCAGGTCACTTTGTTAACAATAACTTGAGCCTGCAGCCACAACAGAGACCGTGGCCAACTTTTAGCTGGCAAGCCAGCAAGCCGATATTTTACACAATGTATGATATTTCTGAGAGCAGAGGCAGAGACAAACCCAGAGTCACACATGTATTCTAACAAACAAGTTTCTGCCATTAAAAATTTTGTATTTAGAGCAATAAAAGATTCCAAGATACAACAAGAGAAGAGAACACTAGTGTTTGGGGCTGGTCCTGCTGCCCAGGGATGCCAGAGTTGCTGTGAGAACTTAAGTTCCACTGAAGGATGTTTCCAGCAAAATAAATTTGTTTCATTTTTTAAAATCTTCATATGATGCTTTCTTTCTTTTACTTGCTCCTGTTTTTTTTCCTGTCTACATCAGAAATTAATTCTTATCCCTGGTTACATAGTCTGCTCCCTCCTGCTGCTAAATTAATGTCAAGGACAGCACAAGAATGCCATGTCTAAGGCACTCCCTAATCACTGTTCCAGTCTAGGAGAAAGCAGAATGGTGTCACTGAGTGATGAGAGGACTCTTTTTCCCTTGGGTCATCCCAATAGTGGTTCCTCTCCCTGCCCAAGTGGCTTATGAAATAGGACAGCCCTTCAGACACATCAATGTAGGCTAATGTGAGAGGCTAGAGCCCTGTCTTGTCTGAATTGCAGAGTACAGGGTATATCTTGAGACAGCAGTCAGCAAGGACACCATTGAAGACACAGCAATATTTCAAGAATTTCTTTCCTATAGTGTATGAATACGTGTGTTTGTTTTGGTGGACAATGCAGCTATGTGACAACTTAGTATTTGTGGGAATTGTTCCAGGATCCAAGGGCCACTTATTAGTTTCTCATTTAAATCCATGAAGGGCTAGGAGATAGATGGAGTAAAAGAAAATAAATGAACATTCTTGCTATATTGAATTAGGGTAGCCAATCAATGCAAATAACCTATTTCCTAACCAAATAAAATAGGAATCAAAGCTGAGTCAAAGGTTGCTTTTCTTATTTGAAAGGAAATGACTAAAGTGTATTTTTCTGCTTTCACCTAGAAATGGTTGAGGGTTGGGAGGCTCTGGGCAACAGACTCTAGTGTCACATTCTTAATTAAGGTGCAGAGATAGACCTGCACCTGCAGAAATGCAACTTCTAATAAGCTGACAAATTTTAACAGAGAAAAACACATTTTCATTTGTCAATCTTTTTACAAAACATATCTCAAACCAGAATTAGAGCACACAGACACCCAGTAACAAGAGCACCTCAAAAGCATGTGATTTAATTGTATACAAGATGGAACACTTTCTCCAGATTCACAAGTGCAGGAAATTGTCTTTTTCTTAAAAGGATGGTGAAGACTGAGGAACACCCTTCCCTCTCTCAACCAGTGAGGCCCATTAAGGTACCACTGACCAATCATTTGGGTGGCCTTTTGACTTCTATCCTCCCCACTCCCTGATCTGGGCCTTTCCAATGGTAAAACCCAGTCACTTCCAATGAGTCTCCACCATCCTTTCTACATTCATCTGTCTTGGCTAGTAAAGTGCAATACAGCATGTACCTTACCCTTTTAATCTCTCTGTCCCTTTATAAGGCCTGAGGGTCAGGCCCCGATAGGGACAGAGATCTCCTAGTTATCTAATCTACCCAGGTGTCTTGTCCATTCTGAGAGAGTTTCCAAAATGTAATTTCAGACTCTCTCATAAGTACATGGGATCAGTTATGACCTGGAAACAAATATAATGGTACAGAGAAAGGTAAAGTTATCAGAACACATTATATATATATATATATAATTCAATTTTAAAACATGGATACAAATCCTCATTTACAATATATTTCAACCTTCTGCTTTAAATTGCAGAAAAAAACTTGTGCCGTTCAAAGTGGGCAGAAATGAGGATTTCTGCTTGCTGTCCCTCTAGTGCAAAATCTAGTCCTTTAAACACTCCCCTTCTCAGCAAGGACTTCACATCTTCAGTTAAGCTAGCACGGGTACTAGCAAACACAGTGACCAAGACCAGTTCTATTTCCAACCATGCAATAATGGAGCTTCAGGAATTTGTTCAGTAACTACTACAGAAAAGGAAAACTACTTATGTTTGTAAAATCACTTGGTGAAGGACCCATGATCCCATTTCCCTCTAAAATATCTTCAACATGTCTAATTGTGGAAGAAAAGCCCCACAAAAACCTAGTAAGTTAGTCACTACCAAAGATCTTTAGTCTGTCTTTGGATAGCTTACTAAGGAGGTACTAATGCTTGCACTCTTCCTGCCCTTAAAATTTTTAGTATCTTAGCAGATAAAGTATAATCTTTGGTTACATAATATAATGCCTTCTTCTTCTTTTTTAAAAACTGCTCTCAAAGATTTTCAAAGAGATTAGTGGTGAGAACAGACCTGCCTATAAAAGGCAGCAGGGGGAGAAACATCCTTTTACAAGAAATTGCACACGCTAAATGGATGTTTTGGCCTAAAGTTTGAGATTTGATCCTGTGCTTTAGCAGTCTAGGTTCCACTGACCCTCCTATAGCAAGTCAAGGATGAAAGTTACTCCCTTGAACCAGTGTCCTCTTACCTGGGCAACTGGCACAAGATAATTAGTAGTCAGCCTTTTGTTTTTCTGGGCGATGCAGGAATATTTACTGGGCTGACTGGAGAGTCTTATGAAGTACACTGCTGGCACAGGGCTGAAAATGGGGAGTGGGGTGGCTTTGGCCGCTGCTGAATTTTAAGAAAGAGAAGGGGACAAGGCCACGTCTGTGCAGTGTCCAATGAAGCAATCACTTGAAAACTACCTGAAGCTTAGTTAAACATTTGTGTAATATCCATATCATGTAGATATTGGACTTATTTCTCTTAAAGTACAAGTAGAATACATCTTGTTATATATGCATATATGCACTTAGAAGCAAAGTATGAACCGAGAGGGGTTTTAAAATCAGCACATTTCTCAGACAATTACCCCTGTATCTACCCAAAAGACAGAGTGAAGTTCTTTATTATTTAAGTGCCAGTAAATATACATAAAAATATATGCAAAACTGATTTTCTTTTTTCAAAGCTATATGACAGAATCCTTCAAAAATTTTTCTAAGGTTAAGGTAATTTAAAAATAGTAAACTCTCCAAAGAACAAGGAGACTTTCTGTGGCACAGAAAAATTATGGAGCAAAGAATCCAACCCCCATTTCAGCTCAGAGGTCAGACTTGGGCCAGCTGCTCAATGAACAAGAGTTGAAACTGCCACAGAGTTTGTGACACTGACAGCTGTCTGCTGCCTCGTACAGTTAGGACCTTCTCACTGGTGCGTCTTTTTGTCTTCCTCATTCTCCTTCCTCATCCAGCATTGCAAATCTCTTTGGAGATGGTCCCTGTGAGTGATCCTCATCTTCCAGCCCAACAGGTACATTGAGAGAGTTTGGGTGGCTGGTTTCTAATGAGTGAGCACAGGTTCCAACCATATCATGTCTGTTTGTAAAGTCAAGTGCATGCAAAATGAGAATTCTGTCTAGAAGACAATCACATCAGCTAGAATATCAATGACCTAAGCATAATAAAACAAAAACCTCTTTTCCTTTATCCAAAGGAGAATAATGGCAAGCTGAAATCTCCTTTGTTCACTGAAATCTCAGTGCAGAAACAGTTATCTTGTTTAGGCTTTTTTTTTTTTAAACTGGTCTTGCCATTTGGAAATGTGGAGTAATCCAGTTGTTGCTGCTTTTAATTACACTGCTGTCTCACTGGTTTTTGGCTTTTGCAAATGATAAACACGTATATTTATAAAGAGAAGACTAATGATTGGTAAATCCATAAAGACAAAAAATTGATAGAGAAATAGAAAGGAGTGCTTCTAGTATTTACAAGAAGTATCAGAATGATATACTTGAATCTATGTTCCATAAAGGACAAAAAATAATTTCGAAACAGATGTAAAGGAACTATTAAAATGTAATTGAAGTTTAAATATTTTTTTTTCTGTTAAAACAACTAAAAGTAATCCTGTGAGCTTATATAATCCAGATGGTATTATAACCAAGCAAACAAGAATTTGTCTATCCTACCCTCGAAAGGGAATCTATTAACTTTATTTTTGTTCAGCAGTCTTCACTTGATCTTAGCCAAAAGGCTGAGAAGCGATGTCCAGCAGTCTTGGATTAGAATATCATCCATCTTAGGTTCCCCCTCCCTTGTTATTTAAAGAGCTGTTTTGTAAGTCCATTTGGCTATTAATATCAACACAGAAATCAGCGTAGGAAACCCATGTGGATAATGTCACTCAGAAACTATCTTCTCAAAAAAATAGAGTAAATCAACTGAAATTGGCAGCTTGATGACTGGCCACTGATTTTTAAAAGTTTAACAGATGAAGTTAAGAGCTCAGTGAGGAGGCAATGGCCAGGATAAGAAAGTAAGTGGGTATTCCACCTGTCCTTAGGTGGAATAGGAGACAAAGTCAGTAATACAGAGGGGTTTAAAGGTTCTCAGTGTCCCACGAGCACACCCTAAGTCCATGGGTGTCATCTTAATAGAGCCATGTCAGCCAGACCTTTCAAAAGGACACCATGGTATAGAACATCTCAATGTTTCAGTCTCTCTGACTGAGAGGCATCAACAACTGGGAGTCTGAGCGAGTATAGTTAATGCCAGAGTCCCAAATCAGTAATAGAGGAGGATGAGCGAATTCACCAGATGTTACCCATCTGGCTTTAGGATTTTACTCTGAAGACTTTAACTTATTAGTTACAGCCTCTTTTTGGTTTCTTCTTCCATCTTCACATGACCTTTACAGATAGATGTGCTGGATGGCAAGGAGAATATTTACAGGGTTTTTTGTCTCAGTGCCTTCATTCTCCGTACTTGATAATTAAGTTTTCTCTTCAATCCTGGTATGGATTTAGCCATTCTGATGGAGGAAGTGAGCATTTCTCCACTTGATGGGAAGGTATAATTTCTGGGGACAATGGCAATTTGCCTAGCTTGTCCAATTCCTTTGATACCGTCTTTGCAAAAATCTGACAGTTGATATGCCCAAATCTGGTTCAATTCAGGCCACGAAACACTGAGGGGAAAATGGTCGGAGCTTGTGGCTGAATGCAACCAGGAGAAAACTTCATTCAGGTCCTTTAAGGAGGAAAAAGACGGTGGCAATAAAGGATCAAATATTCCGTGTACCAAGTAAGAGAAAAGCCAAGAATATTCTGATTTTAGCCCCAAGCTCTTCCCTTGTTGATACATAAGAAAACAGACCTGGGTCCAAATAGGACCTTCTCTCCTCTCCTCTTTTTTGATGGTCTGATTCTTCAAGGGAAATGATCAAGTTTTGGCTAAAGAGAACATTCAGTTCAAAGCTCTTGGAAGCTATTGAAAGCTGATTTGAGGATGATGGCAGAGGGTAAGAGAGAAAATTGATCTGTGGGGGGAGATGCCCACATGCACACAAGTAGCACATTTTCAGTATAATGAAGGGTACTGCACTTGAGCAGTCTAGACACCAGTGCCCCAGACAATCTGCTTTCCTTGTTCTCTCTAGTTTCTGCCTCCTTCCTTCCCCTACTTATATTTAGGGTCATTTTACCCTATAATGACAGAAGTTGTTTGCAGGAAGAAATTTTTCCCAAGGAAGGAAGGACTGAAGGAAAAATAGCAGTGACTCCCCATAGGTCGGCATTTTTCATGTCTGTTCATTATTGTTGGCCTCTTTGAAGGTTCTGTTAATGTGTTTGTTTTTATATAAGAACAAAAAACTATAGTAACATCTAAAACTGGTTTTTGTTTTGTTTTGCTTTTTCAAAACACTTGAAGCTCTCTAAATTTCTCGTGGCATTAGGCAAGTAAACATATGTGTGGCTGGCACACAAGTACAGTGCTGTAAACAAGCACAACTTGACACTGGGCTACGGGAGTATCATCAGAGATTTGGAGAAATACAACACCATTCAAAATACAAGTAGGAGCCATGGCAGGGAACAGAGTCTGAAGATATCATAATGGGGTCAGATAGGAAGAAAAGAGGAAAAAGAAAGGAGGAAATGGGGTAAAAAACTCAGGGAATAGAACTCAGGAGTATCTTCATAGCAGACTATATGCATCAATAGAGGAAATCCCCCAAGGCACTGCAGATAAGTAGTGCAGAGTAATAACAGGCTTAATACATCTGAAAAGGGGACGGGGTAGATGTAGAAATGGGGGCTTTCAGAGCTTCACTGTGTATGGAAATAGATGGGCTTGACTTTCCCAGAAAGAATCTTGGGCACTTGCACAGAGATGATTTCTGCCATCATTTCCGGGAAGTCCACGCTCACCATGTGGGATTTGATTAGCAGGTCAAAAGTGAACTGATGCAGCTCTCGTGCAATCTGCAGGAGTAATGAGAGAAGGAGAACACAAGGTTGATGAAGAGTTGGCTTTTTCCAGGATCTCCCCCAACCTTTGATTTCTGGTCGGTTTAGCCTTTTGTTTCCATCCCTTCCCTTGGTCTGCTCTTCTAAGATTGTGTGTGTGTGTGTGTGTGAAATGGTCTCAAGGGAGTGACTGTGGGCTCCCAAGAGATCTTTTACACTATTGAAAGTTCTCTGACTCAGGACTTGATGTTCCTTTTACCCAACAAACACACACATTCACACTCACAAATTCTCTGTCACATACACAGCTCAGTGAGATGGGGGAAACACCCAGGTCTGTTTTGTCTGTGTAGAGGATTCATCTGTTCTAAGCCCCTTTCCCAAATCTCAACTGCTCTGTTCTCAACTCCTCCACCTCTTTCACAACACCCAGCTGGAACATTGTGACCTATGTTCCTTTCTTCTCCATTTCATTTTCTTTCTGGACCACATTCAAATGCAGTGAGTTATGGAAGCACCTCCCAACAGATGGTGTCAGAGCCCAGAGGAGAAGGTTATCAATTGGTTCTATCAGGCTCTTCTCTCTGAAAAAGCACCCTCCATCTTTTGCTTACAGGCTGCACAGAATCCAGGAGTTTGGTGAGCTGGTAGAAACGCCTTGAGCAGGATGTGGGGTTTTTTCTCTTGCATGCAATGATACGATCGAGTTCCTTGATGTAGTTCATTCGAAGTTCATCAAAGAATTTTTGATTTTTCAGCCCATCCACAGGAACTGATGTGGAATGAAGACATAATGGGGAGGGGAAGCATGCCCAAGAAAGGAACATTAGACAAAGCACCAAGTTTTCTGACCACAAAATTGACTGTCAATTCACAGGGAGAGTATCATCTATTTGGCTTTCTGTCAGTTGAAGTCTGTGCTTGGGGCCTTCAAGCTGCCACTGAGGTGTGGGGGAAATCTAGCAGGACACAATCAGAAGGAAATTTGGCAAATAAAGTTTCCTGTATCTTCCATTTTCCTCATTTTCTCATCTACATATTTTTAAGGACTTAAGATTATATGCTGTCCATAGATCAGTTCGGATTTAGAAACACATGGCTTTGAATATCAAATATCGGGTCCTCTCTCCTTAATAGAGGCTAACACATCACTCTGCTTAAAAGAGACATCAAAATGGTTCCTTGGCTCCAAATAAACTCTGTAAAAGTGGCTTGCCAGGAGCCCTGGTGGCACTGCTAAGTGCTCATCTGTGAATTAAAAGGTCAGTAGTTGGAATTCACCATCCATTTTGTGATAGTAAGATGTGGCAGTCTGCTTCAGTAGAGATTTAGTGCCTTGAAAACTCTATGGGGCAGTTCTACTCTGTCCTATAGGGTTGAGATAAGTCTGAATTGACTGGACAGCGATGGGTTTAGTTTATTTGGGCTTTAGTTGCTTACACATACCCCCCTGCAATAAGAAGATTCTGTCAAGGAGGGATCATTCCTGTTCTATTGTCTCAAAAGGGGGTATAAAGCAGTACAATGTCTGTTTCTATGGCAAAAACTATAGACAAGTCAGAGATTTGTTGCAATCAGTCAAAACAACCTTTATCACCAAGAAAGGCTAGGGATAGAGGAATATCTGATGAAGGCTGAATACTAGCATAGAAAATGCTCTTTAGTCATTAAATTGGTCTTTGTCAGATAAAAAGAATGCTGGGGCAGGGGAAGGGGGCAAATATGAGAATTCCCAGGAGCTGAGTTTTCACTTGATAACCCTTTAATGGTTAAAACAGCTCACTATTGAACCCCCATGCCCCCATTAGTACTAACTGTCCCTTCAAGCACTTACTAATGCTGAACAGCAGTAATGCTTTCATGCACAGGAATTCCTGGGGGGTAATCTGGAGCCATCCAAACTCTTGAGAGAGATGCCTCATTCGGACACACTGGCTATACATCCGAGACTTGTGCATTCGGTACCTGGAAAGAAGACACAGAGGAAGGAGAGAAGTGAGGGAGGCTTAAAACTATTCTAGAGAGAATATCATTAATTACCCTCCCTTTTTCAGGTCCTCGATGAAGAGCCTGTTTCATCTTCTGCTGCTTTAATGACAAGAAACATGGTTTCCCTCCTCCTCCTGTTACCACCATTCACTATTTCCCCCTCCTTTTTCAATATGCTGGCATTCTGGTAAAGACTCATCTTCTCTGGCCAGGTTATGGGTTACTACATGTAATTTACAGGGTTTCTTGACCCTCCTGTTTACTGAAAGAAGGACAGGAAAGTATAATCAAATGAATACAATGAGATAGGCACATGGTGTCTCTGACTAGCTCTAATATCCCAGAGTTAGAACCTGCTCTCCAGACAGCTAAGCGATGGAGGAATTCTAGGGAATCACTGTTTTCCTAGGAACTAGACCACAGAAATCAGTTCTTCACATTAACATACCAGGATTCTCACATGACTATAGGTATTTATCTTGTCAATCTCCTTGCTTCTTGTCCTGAATGCCATTTCAAATATTATTGTATTAATTTCTTTTAAATCTTCCAGAAAAGAAATTCCACACTGTCTTTTCAAAATGAATTCTAATCAGTGAGGAAGCATTTCTGGAGGTTCAAACGAAATGACCCCTACAGATAGGAAGGCCACTTCCTCATAATCTGGCCATAATTTCTCACAGTTTGGAAGCTGTAAACAAATACAAGATTCTTTATTTTAGCGTTTTGAGAGTGCATTATCACATTAAGAAACATACATGGTATAGATGTGTGGCTAAAACTTGGATTGGCTTCTAAATATGGAGCAACCTCTTTGCTTCATGTCTATAAGAGAAGACATAGCTTTTCTGATACTTGGGCCACTAAGCCTTCCTTGTTTGGGGAACTTCAGAAATCAAATGTGTGTGTGTGTGTGTGTGTGTGTGTGTGTGTGTGTGTTTGTAAGATAGAAATTGATGCAGCATGCGGAATAATGGAAGGGAATTCAATCCTCCAGCCAATGATGATGAGGACAAAGACCTCCTCTATTGGATATGATGGCTGTGGTTTGTTATTTGTTTCCCAAAGTAATAGCCTGATCCAGAGGATGAATAGGGGGGCTGGAAAGTGGGGAATGGTGTACAAATATTCAGGCTAAGCCCCAATGGAAAACAAAAGTGTTTAGATAGTTTTACAAATCAATTGATCAGAACAGTGTTGCTCCAAGCTCTTTCACCCTAGAAAAATTTTTAGTAAGATCTGCTGATCCTGGGGCCTGGCCCTGCTCAGGTATCCTTTGTACTCCTAAAGTTCTGTTGATTACAATACTTTAGTTATTTTCTCATTGAAATTGGGTCACTGGATGGTGGATTGTTGTAATATTTCTGAAGGTTTCAAGCAGAGAGAAGGTCAGGAGGGGAGGGAATATAAGAAGAGAGAAAAAGAATCAAAGGAAATAAATCAGAGGGGAAGGGAAGAGAGCGGGACAAAGGTTCACAAAAACTATGGAGAGATAACAAAAAGTGAAAGGAGAAAAGCGGGGAGGAAAAAAGGTCTCGAATAGATTCAGAAGGTGACCAGTGGCAGATAGGAATAGAGATTAGTGACTACAGTGAGAAGATAATTGGAAAACACTGAATACAGTGCCTGTTATCTAGTAAGTGCTCAATAAATGACATTATGATCCTATTCACCATTCTACAGACAAGAACATTTAGGCTCATAATAACATGTGTTCTCCACAAAGAAGGAAGAAAAGAAGAAGCAGGGATGAAGACCATGTTTGGTGTCAGAAATTTCAGGAAATGTGTTAGCCTAGCTTGGACAAGTCCCTGTCTTTCTTTTGACACCTCAGTGTTCTGATCAATATCTTGAGGAGATTGGCACTGATGG